TTTGCTTTGAAATGTGTAGTTTTCAATTTGTATTTGAGTTCAAAACATGATATTTTTTGCGTGGTGTTTTCATAGATTTCTTTTTTTTAATATTATTTCTTAGGTACATTTCCGAGTACTTCAGGGGATATTTAAGTAGTGTAAGCAATTATTCATTTTTAAAAGTTTATTACTATATTTGAGAAGTTTATTGCATACGAGTGTATACGATTGGTTTAAAGAAATGTTGAAGATAATTTTTAGATATTACGCTTCGAGAATATTATGACATGTAATTTCTTATAATGATTGTTTCTAAAGAAATTGGCATTATAATTTTAAAATTTGATGAATTTGTATTCGGTTATAAGATAGTTAAAACTAGCATAGTCTTAACAACTATAGGCAAACAATTGAAATGGTATAGAGAATAATTTAAAGAAACCCTTAATCCATCAACCTACTTAAGTTTATCGAAATCATAACCTGTAAGAAGCCACGTAATGTGAACAAACTGAAATTTATAAACTCATTCACAAATTCTGTCTTGATAAAAGACATGATTTCTTGATTTCTTGATAAAATCATTTTAAATCTAGTAATTGAATTCAATTTTGGGAGAGAGTGTAAAGAGCAAGCTGAGTTTCATCGAAACCGAACTACATAAACTGTTCAGGACTCCCAAATCCTCAGCAAGACGAGTAATATCAAACTGACCTTTATAAAGTTATGTTATATGTTTAGCATCTTTTTTAACCCAAAATAAAAATTTATGTCTAAAATATCTGGGTAAAAATAATACTATTCTATAGTCCGGTAACGTATTTGGTCAATTTAAAATCAAATTCAAGAATGGAGATTCTTAGTAAACGATTTATATTCGTTATATAATATGGCTACATATATCAGAATTAATATATTTTAACCTATATCCGAAATTTTTCAAATACATGTCCTTCGCAACTTTAGAGTTGATTGTCATGGGCATCAAAATCATTCATTTAAATCATTTAATTATCATTGATTGATTATTATCATTGATATATATATGGATTGATATATAATTACATATATAATTATATATGTATATAATTAAATGATTAAATGATAATTATAAATCAAAAAAATCGATTCTTTGAAAATCCTATCTAGATATAACCCCTTAAGATCCTCACAGGTAGGGTTGTTAACGAATTCGGTGCTAAAGCATTTGAGAGATCGCCTATCGACTGGGCGTATATTATATTTTTGTGAGTGTATATTCAGATCTAATATCTATGTTTTCGATGTACCATGGTGCGTAGGCCAGTATTTTCAGTATCTTCGATTTCAATTAATGATTGGTTTTCCTTAAAGATTTTAAAATTTAATTTATGCTTAAATAATATAAAAAGTAAATTTTAAATTATTAATAAAGAATACTACTACTAAATACTGCTACTACGAGTAAATACTGCTACTAATATAAATAGTGAATAAAATAACATTTTTTTTGAGTATATTTGATATAATCTTAAAGTTACCTGTTCTCGAATGTGATGAATGAAGATTGATATTATTATAATTTCTTCTCATTGTCGCACTCGTTGTAGACATTCTATTATATCATAAATCATTTTTGTTTTTCCATAAACATATGACTTATGACTTCACAAGATATTTAAATCGTTTTTTATTTTTTACTACTTTTGTTGCCACTTCTGCTCTGCCCTTGGTATTGGTACTTTTCACTTCCATCAAATAATGTGCAATTCACAGCAGTTACAATTTAAGGTCAATTATTCATTTTATATGCATAATGACACTTTGTGCAACAAATTTTGCCAATAAAGTGAAGAATCCTTTCAGTACACACTAAAAAGGTTTCCACACGTCTCGTTAAGCACATCTTATTGAGTGTCGCTTCAGATCTCAAGTGGAACATAAGAATTCTTAATAATTTCCCTTTTGAATTTCTCTAAAGGAAAAATCTGTAAAAACGTAAATATTTTCTAAGTTTTTAACCATTTAACTTCAAAATTCTTACACACAATTTAATTTCGCTGAAATCATTAAACTTTAAGTATCCTTAATATAAAAACAATATCCTTCAAATGAATTTGTTTTTGCTTTTATATACATATATATATATTTTTAAATAATAGCTTTTGGTTTGTATTTAAATTTTCAGATGGGGAACCTATCAAACTCCCAGACAATTTGGAAAGCTTGCCAAGAGCTGACAGTTTCCCGTCACAGCGGCATCGTTGGAATACAAATGAGGTCAGTTTATTTATATTTATTTAAAAACAAAAATAACGAATAAACTTGAAAGCAAAAAACTTATGCAAAATTCCAAATAAACTAAAATCAAATAAAATAAAATTCGAAACATAAACAAACTATGTAGTAAACGTTAAAATTCATCACTTTTACATATAAAAAACTAACGCGACGGAGTTTTGGTGCCATTACTACGAGCACTTTTTCTTCTTCCATTCAACCTGCAGCGGTTTGATTCGGATTTGTTTTCTTTGAGGTCCTTTCGACTGGGGGTACTTGCGACTTTTATGTTGCATAAAACAAATATCATTTTTAAGTACTCGTTACGACTAAAACAACAACAACAACAACAACAATGGGAATATCAACAACATTAATATACTCGTTGCATTCGTAGATCCGTATAAAGACATCATCAGTATTGGAGTGACAAGTTGTCACTTTTAAACGCGATGTGGTACCATTTGACATTAAACTGATTTTATAGAGTATTTTTTTGTGACGCTAACACTTTTTAGTGAATAATTTATTTCGTATTTATGGAGATTTAATGTTTATATTTTAAATTGTAGTGAAGTATTGTAATAGTTAGAATGTAAGATGGGTTTCTTTTCCCAAGGTATTTTTAATATTTAAAATTTTCAAACAAAATAATTTTATTATTGAAAATATTTGTTATCAGTTTAAATTGTTTATTAATAAACCAAAATTTTAGGTTCTGTTAAATAAAAATAAAAGCAAAACTTCAAACCGGAACTGAAACGGTGTGATATATATTTCAGAATTCTGTTATATATATTCCCGAATGATACCGAATCCGAATCGACAGGTATATATGTCATTTATATCGGCTTAGTCAACTTTGTTTTTTTAAGCAAAAAACGTAAATACCGAAACATAACATATTTCTAGAAAATTGGTTATAGACAGAGGCGAGGCGTCGAATGGTTCAGAGTGTTCACTGAACACCTTAACAAAGCTACCTTTTTAGATTTTTTTTTATTAGGTAAATAATCTCGCTATATTGCTACTTAACATTTTTTATAATAGCTTTTCCAAACAGATTAACATAAACACAAAACGTAGAATACAAACAAAATCACACATATGTTAGATACACCCAACATTGCTTATAATTAATAAAAGAGAAATAACATTCCTCTTGAAATATACTAAGGTTCAGAATAAAAACTGCACTGCGTCGCTTAAAAAGCATGCAAATGAAATAACATTCACATTGGGACTATGTTCAATATTGAATACACAACACAAAACATACAAAGAAATATAAAAATAAAAGAGAAAACAAAAACAAAATAATCATAATTCTTAAATTAATGCGTGCAAGCAGTTCAATAAAAAAATACAAAAGAGAAAAGAAATGACTGAGCGAAAATCGCTTTACATTTGACGAGAGGATCATTCCACTAAACTGAACCAAAAGTTTATACAAAGCGTGCAAATACAATCAAAGTCACGGTTGCTGTTTTATATGGGCAAATGGTTCAGTATAAAAACTGAACCGGGGATTGTAAATACAAAGTAAAAGAGTAAATGAAGAGTAAATGAGAGTTTCTTACTCTTATATAGAGGGTGGAAATAAATCAAAACAAAGTCATTATTGCAATTTTATACTAGCAAATGGTAAAAGTAAAGAAAGAAATTAAAGAAATTTGAAGTGAAAAATAATATTTAGAAATGGATAAATGTGTGATTAAAGATTTGATTCAATGTCTTTTTTTAAACGATCTTCTGAAAAAAAGATTTTAATTCATGAAATGAATAAACTAACTCCAGATATGAAGAATTTGATACCTGTTGTAAAAATGTCGAAATCTATGGTAAATCGTCGTTTTCCAACAGCTACAGCTTTATGGTAAATAAAAACCAGTGGATCACAGGCTACGAACATTTAAATAAATTGTTTTGTTGGTCTTGTACGCTATTTGCTTGTGGAAAGGACAAAACTTAGAAGTAGGGGGAATACGTTATAGTTGGAATTCTGTTTTGATTAAATTGTGAACACCTTGCCAAAAAGCTGACGCCTCGCTACTGGTTATAGAGTATATATATATAATATCTGGGATATTTATGAGCACATTCAACGATAGATAGTATTTATGAGAAAAACGTATTCCACAATTTTAATGAAAACATAAATATTTCATAAGGTTGATTGTTTTTGTCGAATGTGACGCGTCTTATGACGAAAAAAAAAACTTTGTGCGCTCCTCATACTACTCAGACACTTGTAAGATAAATGTTTATCTAAATCTGTTTTTACTATATATAATTTATTTTAAATATGAAAAATCATATACTTGTGTAGTAGAACTTCGCTCTATGATAAAGTATATAAATAAATAACAAATAAAGCAAATAATCAACTAAAATAAACATGCAAATACGCACATAACCCATAAATGTGATTTATTCTGCTAGATTATTGAGTCTAGGGTATATAGATTCTATATTGTCAATATATATTATGTGTAATTTTATTACGTTTATATATATATATATAAATTTACTTAAAAAAACATAAGTTGACATGAGCAGAGCTCGATTAGAAATGACTTCGATTTTTTTTTTGGCATAAATCATTTTATCATCCTTTTGCGGATGTCCAGTTCTGTTTGTTCTTTAATCTTGTCAACTCTGCTGTTTTATCTTACTCGGTAGTGGATTGTTTAAAGGATTCTTATATATGGTAGGTGGACTCTTATTTGCTTGGACTCTTATATACTTGTACTTTTATATGCTTGGACTCTCATATTTCGCAATTATTTTTCGACGCTTTAAAATCACGGCATATTTTGAAAACTCTGGATCTTATAATTAAAATATATTCTAGAAGTGACTGTTACGTTAAGTTTACGGTTGTTTTTATTATTTTCTGTGTGTCGTCTAACGAAATCGCTGCAATTTAGCAGATCTCACAATATCTAGCCATTACTTACCTTGAGTAAGTTATCGTTATCATATTAATTGAAGTTTTATTCAGTATACTTATTGGGACTGAATATTTTTTGAGGGACTTTTATTTCTTAAATATATAAATAAAATATTTTTTATAGATATACTCGGTTTATATCTATAAGATAATATATGTATTGTCCTTTTCATATTAATTTAAGGAGTTACTATACTGTTAGTTTGGATGTTGAATTTATTCTAATGTATGTTTTAAAACACCTTTGGCCCAAAAGAATTCAAATCCATAAAATAACTCAGTTTGGTTCTTTATTATTAAAAATTATTGTACCTTGTTTTACTTGTGAATTAAGTGCGACCGCAAATATTCATTTGTTAGCCGGGAATCGTAGACAATCGCTGGTAATACAGATTCCGCTGCACAGCTAGCGGCATATAATGGTATATACAAATAATATATGTATATAGAATAAATGTTTATATATTTAAACAGGCTTGTACGCACGACAAGTTGACTAAATTAAAAATAAAAGTTTATTAAAATAGTAACCAGAAATAAAAAAAAAATTCGGAAAAAAACTCTTAAAAGTTGTAAGCGGCATATGAAAGGTCGCTTTGTGGCTCACTCTAGCATCTCTCCAAAAATGTTGTAGTACCGAAATGCACGGTGAATGCAAAAATACGGCACCAAAAACATAAATAAAATTACGCACGCTTATTTTGTCCTGGTTACAATAAAGTGTCACCTCCGTTAACCACATTCACAGATATAACCGTTTATGCGCTCCACCTGAACTGGACTTGGTATGGCGAGTCAGTGGAAGTTATCCGCCGGCTGCAGGCTCAGTTCAGAATGTGGGGAACCACAGGATTTTAATTTGGAATTTAAACAGCAAACAATTTTGCCCATAAAGTACAACCAAAAAATTAAAATGAGAAAAAGAAACAAAAAACCAAAAATTTAAATCAAAAGTTAAATTAAAAATAAAATAAATAAACAAAATAAAGTTTATTTTTTTCAAAAATTAACAACAAAAAAACTTAAATTGGTTACAGAGATTTTTTAAGCGGTCGACTTATGTAAGATACATTAACAGCTTTTATAATGCGGATGTAAATTGGAAAATCACGTAACTTAACTGAAAGAAATGAGATTGAAAGTATCTATTTAAAGATTCTTATTAATAAGAGTGAAGAATGTCCATAATAATTGACATAAATTATGGTCAATAACAAAATACATATTTTCAATTTCTGAAACAATTGTAATGTCAAGGTTTAAAGTTTTTCATAACCTAGTACTTGGAAAGTCTTTCTCATAAATCCTAAATTAGTCGTTTTATTGTAAATATGAAGAGAACATGATGTAGTTAAAAAAATGTTTTGTTTCTTTGTATTAATCAAGTAATATATACTTCTATGGTATAGTTCAAGTAGATATTTATTAAAACATCTAATTACAAAAACTTTTATTTAGAATCCACTCTTTCTAAGCTTTTGCTCATACTTCTATAGTTTCCCAAGTTGATGATTATTTTTAAAAAATGTGTATTTGCTTGAGTTTTTGGTTACTAGAAATTGTGAAATAGGAAAAACGAATTATAAAGGGATTTTACTTGAGAAGGTAGTTCCCTTTTTTATAAAATAATAAACCAATAAGGTGTTTAGTAACCTTTAGACAAGTTTTAGGTACAATGAATCCATTCATGCTGGTAACATATAAGGACCCAATCTTTTTTGCAATTAACAGGTCAGCCAAATATTATTTTCAAGTAATAATAATTAATTTTAAAAAGATTTATTATTAAATGTTTACTTTTGTTTTATAGAAATGCTTTCAGTTTTGCATATATTATGAGTATATATTGAGTAATTAGTATTTAGTAGATACTAAATGTTTACTAAATGACTAAGTAACACTAAAATGTATATCCTTGTGATACAAGTTCTACGTATACGTTTCTTTATCATTGTTAGTCTCAAAATCGTTCTATATAAGTATATAACGATACACTTAACATATACTATACACTATTCTATATAATTAATCACTGTTTATGGAATCATACATACTACATGTTATATTACGTTATGTGACTACAAATTCACTTGTTCCTTGTTTTACTATATTCTTAACACATAGAGAAATTGTTACAGTTACATCTTCATCTTTATTTAATCCTTTAAATATGAAAATTTAATATAATAGTAACAAAAAATAAAGACATATAGCAGATATAGATATTTGATTATACATTAATGTCTGAATAAGTCATTTGGTGTCATTTTTCATCCATATCGCTTGCTTCCCTTTCAAAATTAAACTATTAAGTTTGTCGTATGGTTATGAATAAATTTTTTAATGTCCTTAAATAAATATTTTAAGACAATATTTATAAGCTAATTAAACATTTGTAATAACATTGTTTCATTTCTCATATAAAATTATGAATTAAATTCATAATGGCTGGCACAAATGTTTTTCATTCGCAATATTTGAGAAGAAATCCTCATCGCATGCTACCTATTCGATATAAGTTGATGTGAAAGGATTAGAGGAAGCAAACCACTTTAAAATGTACAAGCATTTTGTTAAAATGCCACACACGGCGTAAATGACATCCATGGAATCATACACGCGCACCATTAAATCGCATATAAAAGCCACAAGAAATTTTTGGTTGCGCCTATATTACGTGTCCTTTGCTTGGTGGAAACCGCGTCAAGGAGAAATATGCTGAGATGTGCATAAATATTTTATGCGTTTTCGAAGGACCTTTGCGTGTGGAAATGTGAATTTTGCTGTGCACCCGTCATAAATTTTTCACAAACAGAAGACGTTCCCATGTTGCACACTCACAGTCAATTCTTATGTGAATAAAATATAAAACACTAACAAAATCCCAAATGTTCAAAATCACTAAAAATCTAAGTTATAAAAAAGACGTTGAAAGGATTTACTTGCGGATGTAAACAAATAGATTTGATTTGATGTCATAAAGCAACCGAAGAGGCTTCGATGTGCCACTTTATCATAGAAAAATATCAAACGGATTTTATAAAAAATATGTATTTTTTATATTATTTACCATAAATTATTTACATGATGTGCATATGTTTAGTACGTATATGTGCTCAATAGCATAGCAGAGTGAAAAAAATAGAAAGCGAACGGATATCGTGACGTATGAGTTACATTTAGTAGCGGAATTGATAAAATTCAGGCATCAAATTGGAGTCAGCTGGTGTGGTGGGCAGCATTCAGTAGAATTTGCTGTTTTAAATTATTCATAAAACGTCAGGCTTGGTAAAAACAAATTGATAACTTCATCGCCAACATACAAAGCAACAATAGTAGCAACAATAACAGACACAGAAACATTAACGGCAGCAGAGACTGAAACAATTTCGGTAACAAGTGAAATGACTACCGATATTTTTTATAAAAAAAGATCACGCCAAGCACTTAAAGAATGACATATAGTTATTTTATTATTTGTTTTTCCAAATACTTTTGATATTTTAATTTTAATTTACAGAAAAAATTTAAACATATATGAATGACGGGATCTTTATTATTAATTGTTAAGCTATTAATGGTTATTAAAAATTAATTTAAAATTAAACATTGCAGTCTTGGTATAATTAATAATAATTAAATATAATAATTTAATATTATTATATTATATTATAATAAAATATAATATAATAATTAAATATAAGAATTAATTTCAAGACCACTAATGATGAGTATGATGTGACAATATTTGAACCAGCTATATGGTTATTCAAAAACTCAAGGAATCAAAAAATAAATGAAAGTTTTGATGTTACAGTTGACTATTGTTCGAAACCTGTTTATTTATAAAAAATTTATAATGTAATGTATTTTGCTTTATATTGCTTCATTTGCCGTATTAACTACAATAGTCTGAACATAACAAAAAATTATGTTTTTAATTCAAATTAAAACATATAAAAAATTAATAATCATTATGGAACATTTATATATCTGATTACAATAAATTAATTAAAAATTGTAGAATAGATCTAATATCTATATAAATTCAATTTAAAATTTAAATTAATAATTTTTATACAAGAAACATAAAAAAATTAAAAATTATACAGTGCCATTGAGTTAAGTACAAGAAAGCTAACTATATATGAGGCAGTAAGAGTTACAACGACATTGTTCTAGTGATACATAAATCAGTTAAATTCTCAGCAAAAGATCTTATATGTATACAGTATAAATTGTTTTAAAAAATTTATTTAATATACACATTAATATACACATATTAATATACACTTGTATGCATACTCTTTTTTTAGATCTAATAAATCTAATTGTTTTGATACTGTACAGAGTGTAAATCCCAATGAGTGACTTTCACTTGTACACCTGATTGAAGGTGTAAATCTGGTGATCAGGTACCACAGCTTTGAATTTCCTGATGAATTGAGATTGGCTCTTTTAATTGAAGTATTGTGTAGTGATTGTGATTAAGATCCAAACTTACGTAGGTAGAGCATTATATTTATTAATTTTATTTGATGTGTAGTAGCATTATCCAACTGGGTGGTGTGTCCCATAAAACAACAAATGTGTGAGATGGATCTCGCACCCTCCCAAGAACGAAACTTTTAGGTCTTTTAGGTCATATTGGAATCGATGGAATTCTTTGAAATTCCAATGGTGGCATTTATCGTTCTAACATACTGATACCGGTGTTTTAAAAGCACGATGGTGCTTTTTAATTCATAATAGCATGTAAATACGACATAAAACAATGGACTCTGTTACTATTAGAATTGATAGTTCGTGTTAAACTTATTTATTGTTTTTAATAATAAAACAGTACTGTTCTATTATACGTCCAGATCAAATGTCACACTACAGCAACTTTTTGTCGAGGTAATTATCTTTTGATAGTTACTTGTTGATTTTCATTACCTCATAGGCGACAATTTGTCATCCTCCACGCAAAAAATTAACTCCATAACAGAAAGTTTTGCGAATAATCGTCATTTTTTATAGTAAATTTTCACAATTTTAATTCGTTTAATTAGTTCGGTAAAATGGCAATAGACTAAACATAAGACTGTTGTATTTACCATGTGTCACGATAACAGTGCCGACAAATCAGGACTATGATATAACCCTTTATTCCCGAACAGTATAACGATTAACTGATGTAGGTCTGTCTTTTATCTATAGTATTTATCGTACTGCCTGTTTGTCGGTTCGAATAGTTGTGTATCTATTTCTTTGTTTTACAATAGATATTATGCCTCCGTATTATATCTATTTTTATTATATTATATCCGTATATCTATTTATATCTATCTATATCTATTTATATCTGTCTATATCTATTTATACCTGTCTATGTCTATTTATATCTATTTATATCTATATCTACTTATATCTGTCTATATCAATTTATATCAATTTTTGTGTATCTATATCTATTTATATTTATGTCTATCTGTATCTATTTGTACCTATCTATATCTATTTATCTTTATTTATATCTATCTATATCTATTTATGTCTATTTGTCTATCTATAATTATCTATATCTATTTACTATTTTCTATTTATCAGAGTTATTCGTGATCTTTGGTTAAATAAAGAGTTTTTCGAGATTATATATTAATGGTAACTGTATGTAAGCAGAATGTTTATTACCAATTTTCATTTTCAGAACGTTTGAATAACCATAAATATATTTGTATAAGTATATCTTAACCAAATTATATTGCTATAAATTAAAGAATAAAATGAATTTTGATCAATAAATAAATATATTTATTAAACTTTTTACAAATGAAATTATATTTTATACTTCTGTAAGTGCATCTCTTATTGGGATTCCCCATATGTATAATTGAAGATCTTCTTATTAAGTAGACTCTTTAATCGCCCACTTTATATGTTTGTGTTTATATATTGTTTATTATAATTTTTCCAACCGTTTGTTATTTGAATTTCTGGTAATCTAATGACGTCTTAAAATATCATCGCGATAATAATGTACGTAATAAATTTTTCAAAATATACGAGTACAAGTATTTCAATTTAAATCTATATAAATATTTACTATCTTACTATGTGCATTCGAGACATTATAGAAATCATTTGTTTATTGTAGGAAATCGCGGCGATTCTTATCAGTTTTGATAAGCACAGCGAATGGCAATCGAAAGAAGTCAAAACAAGGTGAGTCATGTCTGATGTGCCGTTTTAAAAATATTTTTTAATAATATATTATAAGTATATTATTTTGTATAGTAAAAAAATTTTTTTTTATTACATATATTTTATATATTTTTTTAAAAGACCTAAAAGCGGCTCTATGCTTTTGTATTCCCGCAAAAAAGTGCGCTACCGACGTGATGGCTACTGTTGGAAGAAGCGTAAGGATGGGAAGACAACGCGTGAGGATCATATGAAACTTAAAGTACAAGGCACTGAGGTAAGTGTTAAGTAGCTATAATCTGGCATTATGCATTATGCGAGACAAACTTGGTGTTGGGGTTAGACATTAAGGACTTAAAGGATAAACATTTTTTTTGTGTGTTAAATGTAAAGTAAAAATAACAACATGCTGTGCAATTAGCCAATTAGAAGTTTTCTTTTAATATTTATTTTTATTTTGTGTTCACAAAAAAAAAAAAAATGTTTTTAGACATTACGCAAAAAATAGTGTTGAATAACACACAAAAAAATGTATGTAAGAAGTATGTATAGAAAATTGGCATCGTTATTCAAGATTTGTTATGAAATTAATTTACAGGATAATGAAAAAAATAACATTTAGTATAGCAGTTTTTGTAAATCCAATTTTTTTTATATATCATGAGTTATGATTTCCCGCCGGAAATATACATGAACTGACTATTTGACTGGCCTTTGTTTTTAGTGTTTCTTCTTTTTGTTTCAGCAGTGATTTAAGGGTTAAACGTACTTATGAAACTGAAGTGCATAAATATCCCCTGAAAACTAAGTTGCCAAAAATTGAACAAAAAAAAAATTGCCAAGAAAATGTTTGAAAAATGTAGAAATGATAATAAAAAAAGTGTAATTTCACGCCAATTTTTATTTCTTACAATATTTTTGTACTTTTTCCTTAATTTCATTTATATAGTTTTTGCTATCTTATAATTTCTAACTCAACTGAACTATACTATAGTATATCTTATACTTCAACAAAAAAAAAACAAAAACAAAAAGAGCAACAAAAAAAAAAAATAGAGAGAAAAAATTTTAGAAACAGTAGGAAAGATTTATGAATTGTTTGAAGACGGAAATACTAAGACAACATGGCTTGTGTCTTCAAATGGGCGCGATAAAAAATATCGTGTATTTGATATTCGCGGGTAAAAGCTCATTTTATAAACGGATTAACAAAGTCAGCGGCATATCAACAAAATATAAATTTATCATGCAAAAATCTACCAAAAAAAATTATAATCTGAAGTAAGAACAAAGAAAAAATAATTCGAAAGGGGTTGGCTTTTTGGCACTTGAACATTGGTTTTTGTTCTTAAAGGCGTCGAAAAAACTTACGATTTGTTTGTACTCATTTCTGACAAACGAACTTTAAAAGTTGAGGGCGTGAGAGCACCCATGAATTAAATTTAGTAAAGTAATTTAATTTAGTATTTACATATTTTTTTATGTGATGAAATTATTATTTGAACAGTTTAAATATTATAAAAAAACATATAATATATTGCATTCCTAAAATACATCAAAAAAAAAAGATATGGAAAGAAATGTGGAAAGAAAACTATTGTTAAGAATTGGATTAAGGCATTATATAGTTATATTAAAACAAAATTTTAAGGTATATTTATAATTGCTTTCAGACTGCTGGGATGAATAAATGCAAAAGTTAGATAAAAGAAAAAAGATATATAAAAATAATAGTTTATCAATTTGTTTTTAAGTATATGGTGAACCCGCTTTTCGGATATGTAAAACCTGACGGTGCATCTATATAACTACATACTTCATATGAGTTTCTATATAGTTATTTATGTTCAACCATAAATTGGGATAAAGTAAGCAAGCCATAAGATTAAACATCTCCCTAAAGGAGATACCTTTGCCATTGCTATGAAGATAATGACGACATTGCTTTAAATCGACTCTGTCATTATTCAACGCATGTAACACATTGTATAAACATCTTATGGACTTACTTGCGTTCTTGCATCACTAAAGTTTTAAACTTAAAATCCTGAACTACATAATCTACATATATTCTGTAGTTGTAAATAAATTTTTTTCATATCCACAATTGAATGAAACTCAGTTTATTTAAGCTTTGAAGGATAGAATGTTAAGATTTTACGAACCTTAAGCTAAGTAGAAATTGGTGAGTATATCGTTCAGCTATAACTTTCCGTACCATTTTTGCCGCAGATTTTTAATATATTTTCATTATTAACTTATTATTAGTAGACTTAATTGCGACTTAAATAGATCTATTGTCTATATCAGTGTAGATCTACACGTATTTGTTATCACGACACTAGACCACTGTAAGCAACATTTTGACTTATTGATTGGGATTTGTGTCATTCCTGAGGTTTGATATTGATAACTGTTGATAAAGAAGATTATTTTGCAATATATATGTTTAGGGTTATTAGTATGTAGACTTTCATACTGGATTGCAAAGAAAATGTTTAGTTGTTTTTTGTCTGCTTTATCAAAGGAGATACAAAATTTTTCAGCATGTTTGCCTGCTGGCACCGCAATTTGTATTACTTCGATCTTGGCTCATCCAAGTAGAAATTTTGTTCTTAAGTTATACTTATTAGATTATTAGCTCGAAAATTTTTTTAATACAATATATTTAATTCTATTTGTCAAAAGCAAATAGATAAATGAAAATAAAAATACTTGCTGAATTTATATTTATATCTTCTACTTATCGATATATTTGATTTCTCAAGACCCTAGTTGAATAATTTTATTTTAAGCTATCTCAATTTCAATTTACTTAAAATATTATTTTTCTCTCTTAAATAGTGCATCTACGGTTGCTATGTACACTCCGCTATTTTACCAACATTTCATCGCAGGTGTTATTGGTTGTTGCAGGTATGTTTCCCATATGTTATATTTACATATATGCTACAATATATGTTATATATTTATTCTTTTTAATTTAATTTAATTTAATTTTTTTAATACTAGAATCCGGATATAGTGTTGGTACATTACTTAAACGTACCTTATCCTGATGATAACAAAATGGCTGTTTTGGCACCAAGTATTACACTCTGGGGTGACAAGAAAGAATGGACTAAAGAGGAACTCGTTAGTCAATTGAAGCCAATGTGTAAGTTGTATTAAACGGAAGTTGTATAATATGTAGTCTGATAATTTTAAGACGCATTATCTATTTTGTGACTAATTTATTTACTTAAAAAACTTTTAATCATATAGTTGTTTTTATATCTTAAAAGAGCTACTTTATTTAGTTATAAGTGCGTATTTATTCTAAAAACTTTAGTTCTGATCTTCTATTAAAATTTTATATGTGCTTTCCATAGGTACAAAATATATAGTATATATAGTATATAATATATAATATTTTGTATATATTTTATTTTTGATATATATAGACTTATCATAGCACAATATACAATAAAAATTATGTAAACTATGTAATTACAGTGTCAACAGTAACTTCAGATGATGATTCCGATTCCGGCAATGATATTGAAATATCTGTACGTAAATACTTTTTATAATACATACGATTCCTCTTTAATTTTTTTTGTGTTTTTTATTCTATATCTTTAAAGCATGCCGAAACCGTTGAAACGATTGTCTGTCAGTTAATGGAGAAACAACGAATATCACGTCAAGCGGCGCTTGTTAAACAGTTAGACTGTGGTTGTGGTGATGCATCATGTGCCGATGGCAAAACATGCTCACATCCAGTAATGCGTAGACCTAATCTGTTAAAGTCTGCATCAGAAAGAAGAGTAAACCTTAATGATAACTATAATCAAGCCGTAAATGGTACTCCGAATGTGGTTGTAGGCCCCAAAGTAAGTATAATTAAAAAAAAAAATTTAATTTAAATGTTACTCGCTATTATATTTGGGGTAAAAAAAGAGTAGTACGTTGTTGTTATAGTACATAAGCATCTAGGTGGATGGTATATAATTTGGGTCATCCAGAATTAAGGTGGAAAAACTTCGTCACTTTTATGGGGCGAGTACAAAGATCGATTACACTTAACTTTGTGTGTGTGTTGAAGCAGGAAAACAGTTGAGTGACATCATTGGGGGAAGAGCTGCAGTTAGGGTACATACTGCAAATTGACGCATTTATGCGTGACAAGGTACTGTTTAGCATATGGAGGGATTCTGATCTTAATTGAGCTATGACAGTTTTTGCGGTTATATTTCTTCGAGGGCAGTTGGTTATGTTCTTTTGCATAAGTATTTTAGATTTTGCATGAAGAACGTTAACAGGAAATTTGGATTGGATGTCTTTCCACATGCTATCAACATATTAGGTTTAATGGTGGTACGGATCCTGAGTTTAGCAATATGGAGTGTCGGAAGATTTTATTGGTGATAATTTAAGATTTCTATCACCAAAAAGTGGGGGTGGTATGTATTTGAGAGTAGTAAGTTGGCAGTTATAATTCTCGTGTGATATTAGAAACTCCTCAATAGGTGACATTTTGGTATTCATTTAAAGATGTAAGAGTTTCTGTTCAGTCGGGGTCGTTTGTAGCACAAAAGATCTGCCATAGTCGCACTTTACAGCAAATACCTTAATAATTTATATTCTTTTGTAATATGTTTTTTTTTATTTTATTCTCATTTTTATAGATTATAAAAAATAATCAAAATAATCAAAATATTCTATTTAATTTTATAGCTTTATTCCCGCTGGTCGGAACGTCGTACTCGTGATTCAAATTCGTTGGACAATCAACAGTATCATGCACAGCAATTAGCGCAAGAATCTGCAATTAAATTTCAAATCATTCCACCACAACATAACGAACAATCCCAACAGCAACAACAACTTGCTGTATATCAACAACAACAGCAGCAACAACAAGTTTATCGTCAACAAAGTCTAAATAGCACTCATCAGTTATTAGCTACTAGGAGCAATCTAATAGTACACCAACATCAACAGCAAACACACCAACAACAACAGCAGCAGCAACAACATCAGCTTCAACAACTCAATCAAACTGGCTTCAATCAAGCAGTAACCACAACGTCAACAATTATCAGCAGCAATAATAATAATAATAATCAAATAAATTTGCAACGATTTGTCGCAAATCATAATAGCAACAGCAGCAGCAACAGCAACAATAATAATAATAATTCACTTATGAATAATAGATTACAAATTGCCCGTACAACAATAACAACGACGAATGGGAATGGTCTGGGTAATGGAGTTGCAACGCAATTGGATAACGGAGCAACAGTGAATGATGCTGAAATAATTGAAAATGAAAACCACATGTCAACAAATTTTAATGCAACTAAAATTAACCGCAATACAAATTGCAACAACAGCAACAACAACAATAATAATAATCACCAATCCAACAACTTACAATTGAGTATAGTCACACAACAACAGCAACAACAACAAAGTGATAATTTAAATGCTATTAATAATAACAGTAATGTCAGCAATAATAGTAATTACAATTACAATCACAACCAACAACATCGCAATCAAACACAACAACAATTCTTTAGATTACAACAAAACCAAACTACAAGTGATATAAAAATATCTCCTCAGCAATTACACCAACAACAACACCCAAAATCACAACAACAAACATCACAAATGTCTCATACAACAACAAACTCATCCTCATCCACCGTCGAACCGATGTGTATGTCACCAGAACATCATCCTTCACCACCACTACATAGCACTTCAGACAACAATCACAGCAACAACAACAACACAAATAGCAACCCTTTGGTACATTTCTCATTTTCAACTTCACCATCACAATCACAAACAACAACAACATCGAACTCAAATCCAACACTAGCACATTCCTTAATGGATGGTAATCATGTCAATCCTAAACAATCCACAACAATAAATTCCGACAGTACAGTAACCACATCAGCCGATGAAAATCTAATTAGTTCACATGGCACAGTTATGAGTGGTGAAATGACTGCCAGCAATGTTGATGATGAGAATGCTAACAATCAAACAGTGGAGGTAAGTTAAATATCATTTGCATTGACAAACTAATTTGTGGTTAGTAAACTCATATAATGGGAGGGTGTGGTGAGAAATTATTTGTGTGTATTTTGAGGTTAAAAGAGGTTAAAGGTTATTTTGTTTTGAAATATGTTTATACTGATGTTGATGTCTGTGATAATAGAAGGGTAAGTGTGCAAAATTCATGGATATTATACTTTTTCTTTTATGTGATGATTGAAAATCGAAATTCGTTCGGGTATTTGGTGAAGTAGTAAATATTTTGTCAAGTAAATTTAATAGAAGAAAAACTTTTATTACTAAATTTGGTTAAAAAAATAACTGAAAGTGTGGTAGGTTTAAATTGGATGGTATTAAAGTACCAGTCATAGATCTTTTAGTCCTTAATAATACCAGTTAGAGACATGGTTAAAGAGATCTGTAGCTATACTAAGAAGTGGGTGTCTTTTGTATGGATGGGTAAACACAATCACGAAGTCAGCTCAAATTGCCCAAATTGTTTTGTTTGGTGAGCAAAACATTTTACCTCTCTTGTATATTAAAGAATTATAACGTTGTAAATCACAACGTTGTAAATATACCAGTTTTCTGTTTAACTATTTTCTCTATTTTTTTTAATTAAATAGTCTTAAATGGTTATTTTGTCTACGTTGCGACACTGGGTTATGATCCATATTAAAATGTTCTAAATATAACAGTCTTCTATTCTTTTATTTCTTATAGTTTGTGACACTGGTTAATATTATATCAATGTAATAATAATAAGAATAATAACCTGATATTAAATTTAAAAATTTATTGTTATGAAAATTAGTTAAGTTAGACAAATTTGCTGTTAGGACTTAAAAAATATTTATACTGTAGCTGTATTAATATCTAAATCCAAGTTAGTTTAAGAAAATTATATAATAAAAGCTTATTTTCCATATATATTTTATTAATTATGCAAAATTTAAGTGCTATAATTCACTAATAATTAAATTATAGTTATTTTCGGTTAAAGTTGTCGATGTCGTTATCGTAACTTCAATATATACTTCTGTTTATTTTGCTCTACTCCATATTAGTTTAATATCTCTATTCTATTTTATATAGGAAGGAAAATCGTTAGTGATATTAGTTAGTTATATCACTAACTTCCGACACTGACTATTAAGTTAGTGATATTCTGACAAAATCCAGGAGTTTTGTTGTTCTACATACAAATTTCAAAAGATCTTAGCTAATATTCATTGTTAAGAGAAATGCATTGTGTTAAAGAAACTTTAATCCGAAGAAAACCATTTTTAGTTAGAAAACCATTTTTATTAATAAAGAAACGATGTGTTCAAAGAGTGAAAGCAAATACCAATTTTCGGTCTACTAAATATGTTTTACATAGGATGCAGAAGTTTTGATGGTTCGAGGTAAATTTTTGATCATTTTTGTGAAAAATCTTAATTATTTTAAATCTTAACTAAAAATAAAAACCGCATAAATTTATTTGAACGTATAAGTATTAATAAATAATTTTATGTGTTTTTGTTATAAAAAGGGTGTAAGTAGTTCAATTCAGAGGGTACTTACAGAAAAAATGGAAATTGGTTGTTAGTGATTGAGCTTCCTATTTCATTATTTTATAATTGGTTAAGGTGCGCTGATTTTGAGCTTCATATTTGGCAGGACCCGAGTTCGAATCCTGGTACTTGCAGTCTCAAAAATAATTATTTACGAATAATTAAATACAAGAATTATTTCCAAGATCACTGATGATAGGTATTTGGCAATACTCGAAACAGCTGTATGGTCAGCCAAAAATTGAATTAATTAAAATAATATAAAAAATAAAATTTTTGTTGTGGTAGTTCAGTATTGTTCGAAAAAACCTCTTTATAATATAATTATATTAAAGCAAAAATTCTTCTTTTTTCATATATCTTCGCTTTCATATTCTAATTAGTCTTTTGTTTCTTTAGATAGAAAGTAATATATGCAATTTAAAACACTAAATAATTTTAGACTACAGAAATTAATTATATATTAATTAACTATAATTCAATTACATTATTATACATTATATCATTTACAGATGTCAACAAATGACAACAATGGCAATCAACATTTGAATTCTTCCAATATCAATAACAACAAAAACCAAAACAATATCAACAACAATAAAAACAACAATCAGCCAACAGAGTACAATAGCAGCAATAGCAGCAACAAATCATTAAATGGTTGTGCGAAACTAGGTGCTTCCAGCAACATTTCCACTGTGGATTGCAACAACAGCAACAGCAGCAACTCTAGTGTTGATCACCCAGGTAATGATGGGAGAACAGAGCAAAATTCAGTAGAATTTATTGAAACTATGGATATGAACAATGGTAACGAACAGCAACTCACTGAGCATACGTCACATGAATTGCAGGAGTCGTTAGGTTTTTTCAACGAAACCCTTGATCTATCACAAGAAGATATACAACGCACACTTATTGCTAATATGCCATTTAGCAATGGAAGTGTTAAACAACAGAATTCAACATTACTTATGGGTACTAGTATATGCATAGAAAACAATGAAAGTGAAATACCGGTGACAAGTGTCACTGGTGGTGATGACGAAGATGCTGAGGATGTTTTTGCTAATTTAGATGCATTCGATATGTTAGTTGAATTTCCTGAATTAGATTTGGATGACAAGCAAGCTTTAAATAATACTGCATTGGGTCATACAGTTGTTCTAACCACAAATGATATCAATAGAGGCGAAGAAGTGAACATAGTCGCTAGAGATGCAGTATTGCAACGAGATTTACAATATCATGAAACTGATAGTCATGACACACATGCAGTAGTGAAACAGCAATGCAATAAAAAATTGTTAAATATTTGTGATTTTAGTCCGGAATGGTCTTATCCCGAGGGCGGCGTTAAAGTGTTAGTGGCTGGACCATGGACAGCAGCTTCAACCTACACTGTGCTATTTGATGCACAGCCAGTACCGACTGTTTTAATACAAGAAGGTGTACTACGTTGTTATTGTCCAGCACATGAAGTTGGTTTTGTGTCATTGCAAGTATCTTGTGATGGCTTTGTGATATCAAATGCAGTCATGTTTGAATATAAAATGTCTTATTGTCAAGAGGCACAATACGATGTTACTTCCAATGATTGTCTTTATAAATTTTCTTTATTGAATCGTTTAACGTCCATTGAAGAAAAATTGCAAATCAAAACAGAAAGTGGAATTGTGGTAAGTTTGTGTAGTTGGACATTTACATTTCTATGCGTTATTTGTAACTAACTTATTGATTCAATAGAATGAACAACACGCTTTCTACATGCAAACTAACTTTGAGGAGAAGCTTATCAATTATTGTCATCAATTGACGAAACGTACTTGGCCTGTAAATACCAACAGTAATTGGAATAATAGTTTCAAGGGAATGACACTTTTGCATTTAGCTTCAGCACTCGGCTATGCTAAATTAATGTGTGCTATGCTAAATTGGCGTTCAGAGAATCCAAATATTATTTTAGAAACCGAAATTGATGCACTTAGTCAGGATATACATGGCAATACACCAATGGTAGGTTCGATTAATGGTTTTAGTTTCTGTATGTAGAGAAGATGATGTAATGATGGGGGATTTTAGTGACTTTCAGTGTTCCCAGCAACTTTATAGGTTATGTGCCGATATAGCACAGTTATCGGGTTATTACATTATAGACTTTTATTACTTTGATTACATTGGTGAAAAAAACTGCACACACCATTTTAAGATGATGGATTTTAATAATAAGAGATATATGTATAAAAGGGTATATATATGTAATTTAGGATATCATTTTTAATTACAATATTTACGCGGATTAATTTTTCGACACCAAAAAGTGATGAATTTTTAAATTATTATTATAAGTAAGAAAAACAGCACTACTAATTTCTTTTTTTCGTAATGAGATAATTTACTAATAGTTAGTAATAATTATAATTGGAATGAATTTTTATTAAACTGTTTTTCTTAATTTTATAAATTCTACCCTGGTTCTGGTTCAGGTAAAGATCGGAGGTTTCATTGTTTGATACCATATCATGTACGTGTGGATTTATAAATACAATATAATCAGCTTATGTTTGTGCTTTGTATGTTATGATTTTAAATTTTGAATGTTTTTTAAGCAGTAAATAGTAGTAATCAAAAAAAATGTTATAGTATATAATAAGACTATATATAAATATATATGATATACACTTCCAGCTATAAGTAAAGCGTAACTGAATTAAACTGCAACTATTCAGAAACCTATATTTTTTATATTGAATTTCTATGATATTGAATAAATATTTAGCAAAAAAAAATGTTTAAGAGGGACCCTTTTCAGCGCCCTATTTTTATATATTGAATTTGAATGATATTGAACAAACATTTAGACAAAAAATGTTTAAGTGCGAGCTATAGTTCTGAATCGGGGACAAACATATTCTGAAATGAAATGAAAGCATAACAAACTATGACTTTTTGGGACCATACTAATGTTTAAAGTTACTTATGTTCTTCATGTTATATGAACTCGCTAATTTAGTCTGCTAATGATTTGCTCAATTGGAAAATTATTCTCATTGAAGAAGATCGTTGGTTCGGTAATTGATCGTTTGTCCGAGCAACAGTTTATTCGCTTTATAAAGCTGTTTTTATATGGTATATTGATGAAATCTTGAAATCTTTTCCTTAAAATTGATAAAAGTTCACTTAAAACTTGTTTCGAGTATTCGTTATATAGTGGCCTACATAAGTTCAAATAAACACCTCAGTTTAGATTGTCCTCTATTGTGCGAAGTTAGTTCTATTTGGGCTTTAATATTCTGAACCATTTCTGAGTAAATCCAGTTTTTTCCGCCTAATATCACAGTGTTAGTGAGACATGAACGATTTATTCCCATCGAGTTCGACTGTTCTGACTATAGTGGTTTACTCAAGTCTAGTAACTTCACACAACTACGTTTGAGTTCCATTATAAACAAACATTTTTTCACAGAGGCACAAGTGCTTTACCCTGTCTGTAAATAATAAAATCAACCGTTAGACAAAATATGGATGTAGTGTTGTCAGCAATTTGTAGTGAGTTGCAGTTTAGTTGGGCCATTTGTATTTTGTTACAAGCTTATATGTGACTTATAGGCAATTGGTACAATTCCATTACAGAAGAGATTTTCTCAAAAATTGGTATATTACCAAATAATGTTACAGTTTGAAAATACAAAATCTTTTTATATAAATATTTTGTATTTAATTGTACAAATCAATATATTGTCACTCTATTATATTTTTTGTGTTATTTAAACAGGCTTGGGCTTGTGCAAGAGGACATATCGAAACCGCTACAATTTTATATAAGTGGAACCACAATGCACTTAAAATTAAAAATAATTTACAACAATCTCCATTGGAAATAGCTACCGCTAAAGGGTATGTTAGCGGAATGTATTTACTAAGTAAAAATATTTTTATTAAAATGTATCTTTTTGTAGTCACAAACATTTATTAGCTGAAATTTATCGCTTAGAAAATGAGAGACGTAGGAATCAAAACAGTGGATCATTAAGCAGTTTATCTTTGAACTTAACAAAATATATTGTAAGTATCAAAAAATATTATTTAAGAAAGGTCTTAAATTAAGATATATTATATATAATGATGCTTATATCATCATTCGTTGGTGAATGAATTTACATCTGCGTTCATTTTTCAAAGTTTATCGATATTATTATTGAAGCATTAATAAAACAAATCTAAACAGATCTAAACTTAGATTTAATACCCCCTTAATCTTCAATTATTTTGACTAGTTTTTATTGAACCGAATAAGATCTGATAAATGAAATCAACGCATATTGTAAGGCTACTCAATAATCTTATTCTAAGGTCTAGGTACTGAACTATAGTTCACAGTCCTTCTTAATTACTTCTTTTTATTAAAAATAATATCGTAAAATTTTTATATATTCAAAATATTTCATATATCGTAAACTTCACTCTATAGTAAATAAGTTTGATTAAACTTAATATTTATGAATGTCTGTATTAATTTTAATTTACTATTAACAAATAGTTAAAAAGTATTCTAAATATATTTTATGTACAGATCAATGACATAGAATCCAAAACATCGAATCCAAACGAAGAGTTATTTGAATTTAAAGAAGAACACATATTTCCAACCTATGATACCATTGAGACACATAAAAGTCATGATGGTGTCTTTTTAAGACCAGTAGCTCTAGCAAGGTAATATTTTTTAATAAATGTCAAAAATGTATTCATTATTTTTAAAAATTAACATAAACTCGCTTTCTAATGTAGCAATCAAAGTCCGCCAAACAATACACGTTATTCAAAACGATCTTCCATTGACAGTGGTATCAATATGGATATCAGAACCAAACCTGGAAAGTCCTTTAAAGATGCTAATAAGTTACATAGGTTAGCTATAAAGATAGTTTGCAAATTAGTTATAAAAAATTTTAAATTGATTATTATTATTAGCTTTGATGCTCATGACAATTATGGCTTAGAATCTCCATTGGATTCTTTAACCGGTACGAATACAACGAATTCACTTTTATCGCCTTTGAGGAAAATGGATTTTGCTTTATGTAAGTATAATAATATTGAGATATATATTTATTTTTTTTTTCTTCAAAATATTTTTAAGAAAATTAATAAAAATTAAAATTATAAAATAAATTAATTAAAATTATATTAGGCGAAGTTTCTACTGGCGATTCAAGTCCTTTACCCGATAAAGATCACGATGACACTTCAACGATTAATAATGATGATATAACCGATGTAACAATCGGTAATGAGACCGATGTTATTGTAGGTCAGTTATTTCTGGTCATCAAATATGCAAAAAATGTATCTATAAATGTTCTTACTAACCGTAAAGTACTAAATGTTGATTTTTCGTTGTTGTTGCTATAATTGAATAATTAATGTACAAATGATGGTGTAAATAATGTTTGAAATATTTTCGGTGTTGTTAACCTTTAGATAAAATCTGTAAATATTATTACATATCTAAACATATTGTATTTAATTATTATTTATATTGGTTTATGTGTGATTAAGCGTTACAAAAAGGTTTTAGAATTGCAAAATGAAAAAATAATATATGGATATGACTTCTAATACCTTTTTGTCGAGCTTTATTGGCAATAAATTTATACAAAGTACACGGCATTACTAAATTCATGTTTAGGTTATAGTTGAAAATGTGCATGTATGGAACTGGGTATCATTCTCAATTAGTGTAAGTTACAGATTTGGCTAAAATATTGATAATATCGGAGTAACATAACTAACGAAATCGCTTTACATGCTTGTCGATCTATTGTATTATAATAACACTTTATGTAGTTCATGTTAATTTGTGTAATCAGTGTTAAGCACGTTTTGTATTTTATTTTGATTTTTATTAAATAAAAATATTTTAAAATATTTTAGGGGACTCTGATGCAAAGGTGCTGACATTAGCTGAGCATATAATAGCCGCTATGCCAGAACGTATAAAGGTATTAAATAAATTTATACTGCAAATAAATATAAACAACAATGAAAAATAAATACTATTTTTTAATGTAAAATTTAAATAATAGAATGAAGCTGATGAAATGATGGTGCTTGGCAGTCCAATGACTGAACCACTTAATACTGAAACTTCCGGTTTAAATGATAATTTTATGGATACACTTTTAGACTCTTTACCGAATACACATTTCGATAGTGATTTTAGCTTTGAATATAATAACTGTGATTATCGTTATCATGATGTCAGCACACCTTGCTCAAGTTTAAGTCCAGCAAGCTCTGGACCTTTACAATCACCAGCAAGTTACTCCATACTTGGTCATGATCCTTCAGTTAGTTCACCAAGTCCACCACCATCAACAAAACAATTAACAGAATTTCTTAATGCTTCAAGTAGTAATCAATATCCATTTGAGGCTGATTTTTCAAAACTAACACTGACCGGTAAGTAGGAATTTTATTTAGCTTTAACACATATGTTATAGAAACGTACTTCAAAATGTTTGAATTTTACAATACTCGTCAAATTTAAGTATACTCAAAATCGAACATTTAAATCGAATATTTCAAATATTCGAAAATGTTAAAGGTGTTCCAAGATATTTGAGTTGCTCGAGGATGTTCACGTTATTTGAAGATGTTAGAGCTATTTAAAGATGTTGGAATAGTCATCTGTTTTATGTCCGAACAGCTCATATATTATTTAAAACACCATCATACAATGTATAAGTTTTTTGTTTTTCGTTTCTACTTATAGATACAGAACAACGTGAATTATATGAAGCCGCCAAATGTATACAAAAAGCATATCGTTCATATAAAGGTCGCCAGAAACTTGAAGAGCAAAACAAAGAACGTACAGCTGCAATTGTTATACAAAACTATTACCGTCGTTATAAACAATATGCATATTATAGACAAATGACCAATGCAGCATTAGTTATACAACATGGTTATCGATCATATCGTCGTAATAAACGCTTTAAAAAATCCAAATCGTCCACAACGAGTTCATTAACTAATCTGGGCAGCCAACATAGCAACAATTCACAATGCTTGTCCAGCTTTTATGATCATTATAAAAATGATCAACAACAAGAATATTGCTCCTCGCAACCAAGTACACCAAAAGAAACTAGTCCTTCGGGACCACTTAAGTATGTTTTAAAACATATTTGATATTTTCTCATTTATTTAAAATGTAAAATATTCTCTTACAGACGAACTTATTCACAATCAACACAGAATCAAGCTGCCAGAAAAATTCAACAGTTCATGAGACAATCACGAATTAAGTAAGTGACCTAATCAGTTTTTTTTAATATTTATAAAAATAAATTTATATAGTATTTCAATTAATATATTAATAGAATAATTAAGTATATTTAATTAAATTTTAACACCAATATGTCGATAGTGAGCGCATAATAGATCTTTTGGGTCGGGGTGCATTCATAGCCTATTGTTTAATAATGTCGATAGTGATTATTTTATTTATTTTACTTATATTATATTATTATATTTAATAGATAGGTTTCGAAAAGTAGTGAACTAAAACAATAACAACTAATATGTATATAAATCAATTAAATCAATTAAAATATGATCTTAGTGCCGTAATTATTTTCTAAATGAATACGGTATTTTATTTATATATTATTAAAAATTAATATTTTTATTATATCCCTAATTTCGCAATTGTAATTAGATTTTATAGACGTCTATTTTAAAAAATTATGGTGTTATCTATAGAACGGAAACTTGTGGTAAACTCATAAAATAGTTTCTATTTAAAAAAAATAAGAATTCACTCCTTGAAGTTATATCCTTTAACTTACATTATTTCTTTTGATGTACCTGTAGTTATATTTAGTCTTAAAAATTAAAATAAAAAAAAATCTAATACAAACTACTATTTCACGCCAGCATTTGGGATGGAAATACAACTATATTGGTAAGATTTAGGGGTTTTAAATTTTTTTGATTCAAAATTTAAATACATTTATATTTAATATTTTTATATTAATTTGTTCGGCCGTTATGATGTTCGAATATGTTTGAAAATTCGAATCGAATACTTCAAATTTTCAAAAATATTAAAGATATTTAAAGATATTTGAACTACTCATAAAGTAAATTTACCTTACTACATATTTTATAGTTTTTTTGTCTTTGTTTTATGCTCGAACACAATATGATATTCGAATATTTTGTTTTTATCGTTATAACTCAAAGCGAATTACTAGTATTGTCCTTTTTTAAAAAGTCTTTTGGTCGTCTATACTAGTCGCTCCGGGAAATATCCAGCCACTTGTAGCAGCATTTTCGAGTGACTCGCTGTACTTAAACTAAATATTAGAGCATAAAAATAATCGGACGTATATTAATTTTATAGCCTTTTGTTATTTTGCAAGGAAATATTAAACTATAAGTTATTCCCTACACCTTAATAACATTTTTACATATTATTTTTTTTTATCTCAAACAAAGTATCTGATTTTCTTATACATACACAATTATTATTTTTAATTTTATTTGATTTTTAATGTTTATTTCTTATACAAATAATAAAGTAGATTTCCAAATAGATTTTTTTAAAATAACTACTATTTTAAGAAAATAATTTTAATCTCATTTAACAGGTTTTTTATATTAATAATTATTATTTTAAAAACGTAATTTTTGTTTTTTAAATTTTTTTTTAACTAATTATATTTTGAAATATTTCTTTTTTAAATTCATTTTTTAATGCTATTTTTTCACAATTATTTCATTATTTAATTTCATTATTTAATAGAAATTTATTGTGTAAAAGATTATTTTTTTTTAAATTATTTTACATTTTAAAAATTGTTTTATTAAATATTAGTATTTTATTAAAATTATTATTTTATTAAGAATTAATATTTTTATTAAAAATTAATATTTTATAAAAAATGATTATTTTCTTACAATTTCAAAATTATTTTTAAACGCATATTTCTTCAATTTATTATTTATTTAATTTATAGACTGCATTTATTTTTTAAAAGTTTTTTTTTATATAATTATAACTTTTTAAAATCAATCTTCTGTTTTAAACTTTGCTTGTTTTAATTTATTTATTTTATTTAATTTGTAGACTGCAGAGAGAACGAGCCGAAAAAGAGAAGCTGGTGCACCAACGCCGGGAGGAGTACCTTCAAAGCTTGCAGTATCAAGGACAAGTGGAAATTGCTTATCAACGAGAAAGAAGGTAAACTATAATTAATAATAGTAATACTTATAAATATAATATTAAAAAATATAATATTGAAAAATATAATATTAAAATATATAATATTGAAAAATATAATATTAAAAAGTATAATATTGAAAAATATATTATTAATATATACAATATTAATAAATTTGATGTTTTTAAATAAATTTTTGTTGACTAATTGTCAAATTTGATGAATAGATTTTTTTTTATAAATAATTTATTTATAAATATTTTTTTTTAATATTAATTACTCTTACGATTGCATTTTTTTGTTCTTTTTAGTGAGCAACGTTAAGAAAATAAATCCAAAGAGCTTTTAAAAAATCAACTTCGTGAGTTCAGCCATACGTGCTAAACAAAACCAAAAAAAAAAAACTAATAATGAAAGAAAAAAAATTGAACAACACTTTTTTTTAAAACTTAATTATACATATATATTCTTCTAAAATAATTATACTAACTCCTATGATTTTATATAGTGAATTTTAATAGCTTTACTGAATTGAGTGAAAATTTTTATAAATAATTAATATATTGAATTTTTTTAACTCTTTGCTATTGCACCGTAGAGTCGTTCTGAGTTTTTAAACGAATCATAAATAGTGACTATTTTAAACTTTTTGCACCTTTTTTTCCTAACTAAAGAACATATGAAAATGTTGAATAATTGACGAATAGTATTTTATTTTTAAATATTAAGAACATTTTTCAGAGTCAATGAAGTAAAATATATATAAATCAATGATATTTAGTAAAAGTCGGTAATAGCTTAAACTGTCGACAATTTCATTTAATCCCAAAAACTATGAGAAAAAAAATCTGCAAACATAAAAGAACTTATCTAAAGAAGCCTTCAAAAGTTTTAACTAAAATATATACATAACTGCGTAGTAATTATTAGCATATATATTTAAAATATATTTAAATATAATTGTATATAAATAGTAATAATAATGAACTTAGCTGAATTTTCAATATTTTTCAAATCAAGTCCTAAACTGAAAATAAAGTATGTTTTTAAAACAAAGAAAAAAAAAACAAATGAATCATAACTTTTTAATTCTAAGTCTACTACATATTTTCATATAACAACTTGTATCCTATTAAAAAACTATAAAAAGTATTTTCTTAATATGATTTTAAATCAAAAACAACTTACATTTAAACTTAAAGTTAATATTAGTTAGCAAATTTAAAAGAAAAGTATTTAACTGCTATAAGAACTATTAAAAAAAATTATAATGAATCATTTATTTTCAATTGTGATGAATTTTACGAAAGCCTATTTAAAAACTATTTATTAAAATATTTATCAATTAATTTAAACTAACTTAACTTTTAAATTAAAAAAACAAAATTAATTTATATAATATAAAGCATATTAAAACTTAAATATTGTACTTAGACTCTATATAATATTAATTAAAAAAAATTTTATCTAAATAATTTTAAAATTAAAACTGCACTAATGAAAAATAAAATATAAATAAATTTAACTTATAGTTAACATAAAATTTTTAACATTCAAATAATTATGTAAAAATGTATATATTATGCATATATTTTTTCAAAATGTTTGTTTTTAAAAATATATTAACTTTTTTTTAATAATGAATAATATCCATAACTTACTGAAACAATGTAGTTGAATTTAATGCATATATGTACAATTTTCAAACTAAAACAAACTATATAATGTACTTAAAATTTACAAGAAATATACAATTTAATTATATATAAAAACTGAAAACGTTGTAAAAAAACATATAAATTGTTTTAAAAGAAATCATAAAGAAAAATAAAGAATTTTAACATTGTTTTTTGTCCGTCCACAATGTAAGCTTTCAAATGTTAATGAATTGGAAACAAAACTAAATTAAATAATATTTTAAATTATATTAAAAGCAAATTACAAACAAAAAAACTAAAAACAGTAATGAAATGTAAAAACAAATACAATAATTAAAAACAATATAAACTTTTAACTTTGCAAAGAAATGAATATAAAATAAAACTTGTACAAAAATAAAAAATTTAAAGAAGGATGAAAGGGTTAATGAAAGGGAAAGGAATTGAATATATATATAGAAAATGATACTGCTGGTTTAAAACTGATTTCATGGTTTTATTTCTGGTTCCTTAAAACCCAGTTTTTAAAAAAGATGCTTAAAAAAATCTAGCCACGAATATCGCTTGTTGATCTATAAGCAGCATAAAGAATAATTCTCGAATTGTCTATAACAGCATTATACAGTAGAAGAACATATATTATATATTCATTAACACAACACATTGTATTTAAATCCAATATGTTAATGAATATATAATATATGTTCTACTACTGTATAATGCTATTATAGCCAATTAGAAAATTATTCGTTATCCTCTTTATAGATCACCGGGCGGTAATCGTGGTTAGATTGTATTGAGCAGCCTTTTTAAAAACTGAATATTGAGGAACCAGAAATAAAATGATGAATAATATAGTTTTATAACAGCATTATCTCTTTCTTTATCATGCTCATGTATACCATTAACTTCAAATGATTTCAAAAAGTAGTAGAAGCAATTTATATCTGCAGAATAAACACCTTCCGCTTTGGTAGCATACATATATATGTTTTACATGTGAAAGATATATATAATAATTTAAATATATATTTATTACAACGCGTATGTGAATTGATTAACATGCCCGTAAGAAAACCCTTTCATACTTACTAAAATGGTTAAGTTGGAAATGATTGTACTTACGGTTACATTTTCTTTATATTAAACTCCTTAATATAATATATACTAATAACATATTCATTTGAATAAGTTTTGTTGTATATATATATGTATATATCCTTGTATATGTACATATAAATGTTTAGTAATATTACAGAAGAATTTTAAAGGCAGTTTATGGGAGTTAATATATATATGTGTATAGGAAAAAATAAACCGTAGTGTATGGCTGTGAATTTAATTAAATGTTTAATTAAATTTGAAGTGTAATTAATTTACATTAAGAAAGTTAGCAAGTAAAAATAGTTTATATGAAAAGCAATAATAAAGGCAATAGACATTTTGTGAAGGCAATAGACTCTGTACATCAATAACAAAGAAAACTTAATTAAAGTGAAATTGAATTAAAAAAAAAATGGAATTAAATAAAAAAATTGAATAAATTGTTAAACTATAGTTAAAATTTTATATAAAATCGTTTTTAATAAATATGAATACATCTTAAAAAACTTTCAATACACAATAAAATAAATAGACACAAACGTTTATAAAAAAATTATTCTTATAAAGATTTTATAAATTCAAGTGGTTGATTTATTATTAAAGCATCTTATATCTCATATTCATTTTTATTTCAATTATTTTCTATTCATGGTTAAATAAGAGTTTCAAATATTATTCGAGTGCATCGATATTTCGAGTGCTTTGATTTTAAATATGAGTATATTCGAAATTAAACATCATAACTTTCGAATATTTTGGAGGTGTACAAATAATACCGAACATTTAAAGTGTTTGATCCAAATGTTCGAATTTGAGCATATTTAAACCAAAACGTCGTAATGTTCGAATATTTTGTAGCTGTAAGAATAATTTCGAATTTTTAAAGTGTTTGATCCAAATTCGAATTTGATTATCTTTGAGCTGAAATATCGTTATTTCCAAATACTTTGAAACATTACTTTTAATGTTTAAAGCATATATTTGGGTAAAGTTTTCTAATACAACTATTCATCAACCGTTTTATTAATTCTTAGTCGGTTTGATTGTTTGATGAGTTGATTTATTCTCACAAAATGCAGACTGCTTTATTATGAAGTTGATGCAGAACATAATATATTTTGCTCAACGTATTATTCATTTTGAGGACAATATACCGAATATATAAAATCTGTAAAACCAAATTATATATATAAAATAGTGTTATAAATATAATTCGAGTTTAAATACAATTGTGCTGGAGTATTCAGCTGACAACGAAAAGCTCAAAAATGTTCGAACTCAATATTGTGTTCAATCATACATTGTCATGTATATTTGTAAACCAGATTTGCTGTTTGATAGCTCGAATATCTTCGAAAAGCTTTAAAATTCTCGAACATCTGATGTGTTCGAATTTGAATATATTTAAACATTTTCTTTTAACATTTTATTTAAACATTATAATTGTTATGCTCGAACCTTTTAAAGCATAAATTTAGAATGGTTATTTGCAATAAAAGGAGCTAATAAAATAAATAGAATTATATAGAATTATAGAATTATAGAATTTGAATATATTTAAACATTTTCTTTTAACATTTTATTTAAACATTATAATTGTTATGCTCGAACCTTTTAAAGCATAAATTTAGAATGGTTATTTGCAATAAAAGGAGCTAATAAAATAAATAGAATTATATGTATGGTAAAGAAAGTCTTCAACTCAATTGTTATAACAATTTAAACCTATGATGTTCTTATGTTAAATAATTATTAAATGCAAATTGTAAAAAAACGATTTCAAAGCCAATTTTCGAAGTCATAATAGATAATAGATGGTATTATAGATGGTTTTAAATGGTATATAAGTACGTTATGAGCTAAATAACCACAGAAGAAATTTTGTTTTTTTTCTGTACTATATATTTTCTTCAGTACTCATGAGATGGTACGCCTGGTTGTACAGGCCAGTCAATCTTAGCGATATTTCCCAAGAGAGATTGAGCTATTTCTTTTATTTTATTGTGTTAAATTTCGGTTACACTAATATTTGTAACTAAAACACAAGCATATAGTTCTAACACAGATTTATTACAATTTTTTCTAACGATTTTACAAACGCAACATAAAAACTCAGAATTTCGGGTGTTCCCAAAAACTATAGACCCTAGGATGAGCATTTATAAGTTCTTTCGTTAGTTCGCTTAAGGGTTTTATGCACAATAGTACCATTCGCTTTTGTGTTATCATGATCTTAAGTTTAATTCAGTTTAATTATTCCTCCTAATATCATATATGTTATACATGCATGTACATACTTATATACATACATATATGTATATGTACTGTGGTTTATAAAACCTCATTATTATGTCCAACGTACGATTAAACCAAAGCATCTGTCTGTAGTTGTTGTGGATGTTATATATAAATTCTAAATAATTGGACCATAATGCACTGTAGTCACCGTCTATAGTTTTATTATGAGTTGCGCATTAAATATTTAATTAATTTGTTCACACTGAACCGTATTTAATAATTATTATGTGATTGTAAAAGCTCCTAAACACGAAAATTTAGCAATTTCTTAATTCTGAATTAAATAAAAAAATTTAGAATTTATTATTGTAGTATATTTAAAAATATTATACCCTACAATTTTTTATTTAAATATTTCTTAGTCAAATTTTTTTATTGTTGTTAAAAATAACAAAATTAAGAAAAAAAAACACGATTTATGAGTCGTTTTTTTATGATGTTTTTAAAATTATTTATATTATTTTTTATTACTATTATTATTATTATTATTATTTTTACTTGGTTTCATTTTTGAATAATAGCAGTTCATAACATATTAACATATGTAACATATTTTTTTTATTTATTATAAATTTTTAAAACCAATTTAATTATTGTTTTTTAATTTGTATAGTTTTTTTATAGTAATAATTTTTTATTTTATTTTTATTAGTCACATTTGTTATTACTTTTTTAATTTTTATTATTTGTTTTTATTAATTTTTATCATTTTTGCTATTTACTTATTAATTTTATATTTTAATATTTTTTTATTAATTTTTATTAGTGTTTAATATTTATTTCTAAAATTAATTTTCATATATATTATTATATTATGACTATAATTATCTAATGCTAATATATTAATAAATTTCTTTTTAATTAATTTTATTATTAGTATTTTTTCTTCTTTTTTAATAATATTGTTATTCTTTGAAGTTTAATACTGAAATATGTTTTTTATTCACTCATCTTATTATTAAGAATAAATGCTGCCATCTACCTTTCATTTTTATTTAATTAATGTTTTATTTCATCCTTAATGATTTTTTTTCATACCAATTAAAATTGTTGTGTGAGGTTTTAAATCACTTGAAAGTTCTTTAAAATAAATTGGCTTTAACGCCAAATTGTAATTAAATACTTAAGTACCTTAAGCCACTTGGCATTAAAAAATTTTCAAATAAAACTTATATAAAACTTAAATAAAATAAATACATTAACATAAAATAAATTAATTAAAACTATATATATATATATATATAAAAGCAATTATAAATTCACTTAAATAATATATAAATTAAATTTGTAATAAATTAATAACTTTAAATTTTAATTAAACACCAATTGTTGAGAAATAAATAAGAATATATAAAATAAAAGAAAACTACTTAATAATATAAAAAAGTATTAAATTAGATTAAGATATGTAAAGTTTATTTACATCAAATTTTTATTAAATGAAATAAGCAAAATGTTGTGCATATATTCTATTTAAAAGATCTATTTAAGAATATACTATATACATATATTGATACATACTCTACTCGTATATCAAGAAAAAATACAACGCTGCAACTACAATACAAGTATATTTGTCGCATTAAGCAAGCGCCTATCATACTTTTATTTAAAAAAAGTATGGAGTGAAATATATTTGATTATATCCAAAGCTTTAGAATTTTCCTTATTATAATGGAGAATAAATTTTAATCTATAACATTTAAAAATATTATAAATAAAAAAACTTCAAAAATTTAAATCATAAATATTTCAAGACAAAAAAAATATTATACATAATACATAAAGTTTTGTAATTTTCTTCGACTTTAAAATTCATATCTATTAAATTTAAAAACTGTTGCAAGGAAAATATATTTCAAATTTTACTAAAATATATAAATAATATATACATATATATATATAAAATATAACTATATATATATAAGAATATATTTATAAAAATGTATATCTAAGAATATATACATAAGGGTAACTTAAATTTTAAAACAATGTCATTGATATATTAATAATCAACTGTTGCGCTATTATTAAATTTATTTGTAAAAAATTGAATACTTATATGTATACATATATTTATGTATATGTATATATATATATATATTATCAACTTAGTTAATTCTCTTCTTTTCACGTTTTTATTTTTTATAAAATAATTAAAACAATTTATTGTTAACTAATATAAAAAACTATTTTACTATTATTAAAAAGAATTATTAAGAACATATGAAATATATATAATTATATATAAAATATAATCTTTTCAGATTTCTGTATATTTGTATTTAAATCTTATAAAATATAATTATAAAAATAAAGTTTTATTAAATACTTTAGTCAACATCGAGAACCAATGTGTAAAATATTTTTTGTTATTGGAATGCATTATATAGACTCAATTATTTAGGAATTTATTTGGGCACCGTCCTTTTGAAATGGCTTTGCAAGTAACAAAACAATATATAATAACGTTGTTACACTACCATAGTATAATGTAGGACAGTCGCAGAAATTTGTGCAAATAGAGTTACATATATTACATATATAACATATATACTATATGCTTACTCTATGATATAAGAGAATATAGCTATCATTTTAGCATTTTTGAAACCATTATTATCAAACAATATATTTTTTATTAATAAAAAGATATTTATTAAAATCAATGAACATTTTATTGTTCCTAACTGTTGCTGAGAACTGGAAAGTTTACAGCTCCAATATTATCGAAATGATTTAAAGTCTGCTTAGAAAATATTATATTGATTGGACAGTACAAGCACTACTCAGAATTATGGTTGATGAAATATGGTATTGGGAAAGCTTCTTTTATCACACTGTACTAAAATATTTCTAGACTATCTACGCAATTTGGAACTGCAATATTTCTAGATTATTTAAGTAATTTGAAACCGTGATTTATAATATAAATTTCAAATGTCAATTGAAAATGTTAATGAAATTTAAAAATCAATGATAAATGTCGAAATTAAGACTTACATAGTCGTATGAATCATTGTTTAGGTGTACATCGCTTTCTCAACACTCTCTGGCTTTTTTTATGCTAATTAATTACACTTTCAAAAACTTTTTGATGTTATTTATTGACTCCAATATATATCAAAGCCTGCACCCATAAATGTAAGAAAGTAAGTTAAAGAAAACAGTTTTTAATACTTAAAGTACTTCCTCTTCCACTTCTTTGCCATTAATATTTAGTGGGGCATATGGCCGCGACAACTGATGTAATCACAGTCATTTTTTCTCTTGCCATTAACCTTTAGTGATGCATAAGGTCTGTTGTTGTTGTTGATATCATTGCATGTATAGCATGCAGCGGCAAGTTCTACATTGACTGCTTTTTTCCCGCTCTTGCAAAATGATCCTGACCAACCTTTAAGGTTCCATTTATGATGCGTGCGATGTAAATATCAGGCTTACATATCGTATGACCGATCTTTAATCACAAGACATGATAACAGTCATTTTGGTACTAATATATAACACAACTTTACTGGTATTTCATAATGTAAACACTGTCTATGATTTTTTGTAGA